TGATTCTGTAATAAACACAACACCGTGGTTTTTTACTCTGCAATAAAAACAGCACCTTGGGTTTCTGATTCTGTAATAAACACAACACCGTGGTTTTTTACTCTGCAATAAAAACAGCACCTTGGGTTTCTGATTCTGTAATAAACACAACAGCTTGGGTTTTTTACTCTGCAATAAAAACAGCACCGTGGGTTTCTGATTCTGTAATAAACACAACACCATGTTTTTTTACTCTGCAATAAAAACAGCAACTTGGGTTTCTGATTCTGTAATAAACACAACACCGTGGTTTTTTACTCTGCAATAAAAACAGCACCGTGGGTTTCTGATTCTGTAATAAACACAACACCGTGGTTTTTTTACTCTGCAATAAAAACAGCAACTTGGGTTTCTGATTCTGTAATAAACACAACAACGTGGTTTTTTTACTCTGCAATAAAAACAGCACCGTGGGTTTCTGATTCTGTAATAAACACAACACCGTGTTTTTTTACTCTGCAATAAAAACAGCACCGTGGGTTTCTGATTCTGTAATAAACACAACACCGTGGAATTTTACTCTACAATAAAAACAGCACCTTGGGTTTCTGATTCTGTAATAAACAGCTTGGGTTTTTTACTCTGCAATAAAAACAGCACCGTGGGTTTCTGATTCTGTAATAAACACAACATCGTGGTTTTTTACTCTGCAATAAAAACAGCACCGTGGGTTTCTGATTCTGTAATAAACACAACATCGTGTTTTTTTACTCTGCAATAAAAACAGCACCGTGAGTTTCTGATTCTGTAATAAACAACACCGTGGGTTTTTATCCTGCAATAAAAACAACACCATGGTTTTTTATTCTGTAATAAACATAACACCGTGGGTTTTTACTCTTCAATAAAAACAGCACCGTGGGTTTCTGTAATATACACAACACCGTGTTTTTTTTTACACTACAATGAAAATAGCACAGTGGGTTTCTGATTTTGTAATAAAACACATCACCGTGGGTTTTTAAATCGGTAATAAGCACAATACCGTGGGTTTTTGCTCTGTAATAAAACATAATACCCTGGGTTTTTTGCTCTGTAATACACACAACACCGTGGGTGTTTTGCTCTGTAATAAACACAGCACCGTTTTTAACCTGTAATAAACATAACACCGTGGTTATGACTGTAATAATACAGCACAGAGAGTTTTTGACTCTGCAAGAATGCAGTAACGTGGGTTTTTTGGTCTGTAATAAACACAGTACCAAGTGTTTTTAACCCGTAATAAACACAACACCGTGGTTATGACTGTAATAATACAGCACCGAGGGTTTTTGACTTTGCAAGATTGCAGCATCATGGGTTTTTGTCTCTGCAAGGAAGCAGCACCATGGGTTTTTGACTCGGCAAGAATGCAGCACCGTGGGTTTTTGACTCTGCAAGAATGCAGCAAAATAGGTTTTTCTTGACCGGTGATTTGCAAGATTTAATTGTACTAACATATCCAGTGTCCCTGACCAGACATGTGACCACAGGAACCTTACACTGCTATAAAACAGAGTCTGTACTGACATTTCCCACCAAAAATCAATGTTGCCAATGTTGCGAATATTTTGTGAACCCCTCAAAAACTCATAGAGCCAAAGTCACTCTGCCGTCACCATCGGCTCGGTCAACACCTCCAACACCTTCACCCATCAGTCGTAGTCATTTACACTGGTGGCTTGCTACTTGGAATATTGCACACACACCACAAATCCAAAGGGAATTCGAAGAGAATGCTGGCTATGTCAAGTCCGAACTTCTCTGCCTGTCAAATTAAGGATAGTTGCTTATCTTGTTGGTTTGGAATTATCAGTGAAGTGAAATGTTTTCCTCTCGTTGTTCTTTGCAGTCTCCCCGCATAGAAAACGGGATTTCCCTTCAGCCAGTCTCTCGCTCACCACTAGCGCCACGCACACACAAACTCACTCAGAGTTTATTTAAATTTACACCCTTAGATTTCTTTCATCCATTTTTATACTATCAAACATTGTTCATTTTGATGGCTCTGACAAGATTACTGTAGATGCTATACTCCGTGAAACTGAGGAATATGTAGCTGCCATGTATCCTGCATTCTCCAATCGGAGTTCCTCAGAATTATGTGAACGTTGCTTGTAACATGTGTTGCAGCATCTCGACCAGACGTCTATTCCTGTAAGACAAGTCCTGACTGCTTTCGAAATGAGTAAGAACCGTACATGGGACGATTTTAAGACCGACTTCCGATTGATATTCGCTACGAGGGACGTTCCCACATTCCTACAAACTACAAGCATGTTTAACCTGAGACCTGCCTTTTTCTCACCCATTGACCTGCATCTCCTAGGTGCAAATGTTCGGTCAGCATTCGACCGAATGACGTGTGCTCTTCGTGGCTCCTCTAATTTATTTTATTTCAAGCCTATTGCAGACACAGTAGATGCAAACTTCAATGTCTTAAAAACCTATTTCACCCTCTGTAACTTCATTTCTACTTTACCTTATGGCCAACAGGAGACTGTCCTTGATAAAATGCAACTCCCTGAAATGGCAAGGGACGTGCCCAATGCATTCCTGAAAGCCAATACGCAGTCGCCAAATTTCATTGCTGCTAGTGCATCCACAGCCCAGGTCTTGGCACCACTCTAGGGAATGTAATAGTACCCCTTTCTGCCCTTACCATAATCTAGTTCATATGTGGCATGCTTGCAGAGAATTCCCTCATCTTGTTAAGAAAACCAAGGATGCAATGAGATCTCAGAATAATCCTACGCAAACTAACTCGAATTTCTTAGAAGCCATCACATCACGGCATCATTGCAGGCGACGCACTTCTCCTCCCTGTAGCCTTTGAAGGACAACCACATACTTCATTGATAGCGGCAGTGCCATCAGCCTCGTCCCTCTCTCAACACTCGTGGATTTCAGTGTCCTTACCCCAGTCTGCCCTTCAAAGTGGTGTGTGAGAGCTGCAAGTGGAACTTCCCTCAAGGTCATGGGAGAGAAGTCGAACTCAACATTTCCCTCTCCGGTAAGACGTACTCATTCGTCTCATTCATCTCTCAGTTGATCTCTTGTTAGGATATAACTTCATGCACAAGGCTAAAATTCATCAACAACCTGACAAAGATACCGTCACTCACCAAGGTAATATCTACTGTCTCACCACGCCGAGTTCTGTTTGGCATTCCTCTTCTAACTCTGCTAGTACAATTGCAGCTGCCATGATTTTATCGCAACTCCCTGCAGTCGACCTGACACCGGACGACTCGTCGCTTGTCCTTCGCCATGAATGCCTCTACGCAGGATCTTCAAAATCGCTGCTATATCACTTCGACGACACCGAACGTCAATTCTTCCACGGTAATGAATTTCTCATCATTCTCCTAGGCATCCCAGACTGGCGCACCTGCTTGTATTGTCTCCTCAAATCTCATGCTTCCCCCTTTTACAGACTTGATGGTTCCAGTGCTTGTCACATCTACAGATGGGACAGCGCTTGTCACACCTGACTGCATCCATGTGAAGGGACTGTGCTTTTCCCACGAGGTACCCAATGTTTTAATATTTTAATACTTTTAATAATTTATTTTAATTTTTTGAATGATGAATGACGTCATTTTTTTTTAGTCATTCAATAACTATTTTTTTTTTAAATTTAAAAGAGAGAGAAAGGAACGGGGAAGAGAGTAAGGAAAGGAGAGATATTTGGAGAGGAGATAAGTAAACGGAAGCGAGGGAGTGGGGTAGAAAGTAGAACATTAGAGACACAATTTGAGTAACAGTATGTTGTTGTTAGTGTGTTGAGCCTGATCAACGCAACCTGCACTCCTGTTCGCCTGCATTGTGGGACACCAGTGTACGACTGTGAGGTCACCGACTTCCCTGTCGTTGAAGTAGAGCCCCCAGTCGCACCTGTCTGTAACATGTCAGTTACTACGAATCCCCCTGACGCACCCAAACCTGAAGAGACTCCCGACTATGAACTTTGCAGATGTTCTCCGACGACTACTGAAGGAGTTCCCTCCTAATTTCCAACCAAGGACCACCCCTTGGAACACACCGATGTACTTCGACACCGCATTGACCTCATACCAAGTATGAAGCCTATTTACATACCATCTTACTGTATTCCTCACAACCGCCGAGCTGCCTTCAAAGAGGCCACTGACGCCTTACTCTCCCATTCACCATGGTCAGCTCTGCGCCCCGTCATCGACTACCGCCACTTCAACACCGTCACAGTTCCTGACTACTACCCCATACCGTCGATAAGCACTCTTCTCCAAGAAGTAGGTGAGGGTCATGCAATCTTTTCGCCAATAGACTTAGCACATGGATTCTTGTAAGTCGAGATGGATCCATCCTCAAAGGACCTCACCGCCTTTTCTAATCCACATCGACTTTTTGCTTTTACTAGAATGCCCTTTGGTCTTAGGAATTTGCCAATTATCTTCTCGAGATTGATGTCACTGATTATGCAGGACTTGATTGGTGATGTAGCCTTCCCCTACTTAGATGACCTACTTATCGCCTCCAAGGACATTGCAAACCACAAACATAAGTTGAAATTAGTCTTCCAGCACCTTGCCAACGTGAACCTGACTACAAACATCAAGAAATGCCAGTTCTTCTGCAAACAGACTGAGTATCTGGGTCACACTGTCGACTCATCTGGACTATGCCCCAATGACAAAAAGGTACGGGATGTACAGAATTTCTCGGTGCCATTATCAGTCACCCAGGTAAAATCTTTCCTTGGTCTTGTAGGATTTTACTGCCCCTTCATCGAGAAGTTCAGAATAGTCGCCGAACCTCTGACCCATTTCCTGAAGAAAGACATTCCATTCACCTGGTCCAGTGAACAGCAATCGAAGCTCTCAAGCAATGCCTCACCGAAGCTCCAGTTCTTTCATTTCCCGACTTTAACGAGACTGTCTATCTCGCTACAGATGCTTCATCAATAGGGCTAGGAGCCGCCCTTATGCAACGCCACGATGGACGCTACAAGCTATACTGACCTCGAAGCCCTCACTGTTGTATGGGCCCTCAAACACTTCAAAGAAATCATTTTAGGCTATGATATTCATGTCCTAACTGATCATCGCCCACTTAAGTATATCCTCACAGATTCAAGACACGTCAAAGGTCGTCAATCCAGATGGGTAGACACACTCCTGGAGTTTCACCCCAAGATTGACTACTCGCCTGGCTCAGCTAACAAGGTAGCGGACGCGCTATCACGTAATGTCTCAGTCAATCGCCTTTCTGTCCTCAGCCCCTCGAGCTCCAGGCGAAGCGACGTGACGACCCACTGTATGTTGATATCTTTGCTCACCTCGAGGATAACACTAAGCCTCTGCCGACGAACCGAAACCTCCCTATTGAAGAACTCTACCTCCGCAATGGCCTGCTCTTCCGGAAATCAGCTCCCAAGAAATTGTGTGGATCCAAGCAAAGTCATACGTACCACCAACTGGTCATTCCCGAAGTCTTCGTCCCTACAGCACTCAACCTACTTTACAATTCTCATACTTCAGGACATCAAGGTATTTTCAAAACTTTGCAGTTAGCACGCTCTCACTATTATTTCCCCAGATTTGGCCCACGAGTTATCGGTCACATCAAAAGCTGCCAGATCTATCCTCTCTACAAAGGTCACACTGTTGCCCCAGTGCCTGCACTCACTTACGACACACCAGAACGACCTTTCTTCAGAGTGAGTATGGACGTTCTTTCCGGTTTCACTCCCACAGAGAACCGAAATTGCCATATGGTTGTCATGATTGAAAGTTTCAGCCACTATACCAAGTTCGCCCCTATCCCTGACAAGAATGCGAAGACAGTCGCTCATGCCTTCTTCTCTCATGTCATTTGTCGCCATGGTGCCCCTGAGCAGCTCGTGTGACAACAGTACTGAATTTACTAACCGGGTACTCAACAACCTATGCAAGCTTCTTAACATCGAACTTGTTCATATACTCCCATACAGACCTCAGGCAAATGGCCTCGTCGAAAGGCTCAACAGAACGATTCTGAACGTCCTCAGAATCTCCATCAACACACAAGATAACAAGTGGGACCTGTGGATTCCCATCACTCAGGCTGCCATCAACAGCACCTTCCACTCCTCCCTAGGTGACATCCCCAACTACGTCGTGTACGGTGACGATCGGCGATTCACCTATGAACTCCTGCAACAACTGCAACTTCTCCTGTCTACGGAGACGACTACCGGAAGATCGTGATCGCCCGAAAGAAAGAAGCCTACTGCATCACCAGTGCGCACCTGTGTGTGGAAAGGGACCGTATCATCGCTCTGCAACACAAGCTCGCCCGACGAAAGGAGATCGCCGACGGCGTCCTCGTCTTCCATCATGTATCAGATAAGTCCTCTCCTATGCCTAAACTTGCTCCTGACTTCGAAGGACCATTATGAGTTCTAAAGGTATGACATAAAGCTCTGTGCCAAAATCTCATTATCTGCAGTCAAGCCTGGTATCACTTTGACACACTCAAACTAGCCAGCACACAATACGAGGATAGATTCAATCAACAGCGTCCCTCACCAGTCTCACTCCTGCAGATATTGCTCCTGATCCAAAGCTGCTACTTCGTTGCCACTGTCTTCCCCAGATTGCGACTCCCTTGGTCTTCCACAGATGCCTTCTGCCCAGAGATGACTAAGACATCCATCCCGAGACCCGCTCAGTCATGGGTCACTCTGCACCCGCGCCACATATCGCCAGCCGCATCTTACCTTCCACCTGCGCACTATGCCGGGACCGAGTCTCCCTGCATCCCCGCTGTCGAGACTTCGCCCTCAGCTCATCCACTGCAGCAGGATCGAGGACGATCCTGATTAGGTGGCCAAGCGGTTTAATGACCTTCCCCATCTTCATACCCTCAACTCCCCCCGGTGCCCGGGACCAGGGGGTTATCGCTTGTATGAACATTAACCTTCGTCCGGAACAGAACAAACACCGAAATGCCTATTTAAATGTCGATTTAATGACCTCTCACCTCTACTTACCCTCTACTTCCTATGGTACCCAGGACCCTACTAGACCGTAACGACAATGGCGAAGTGCCCCTAGAACAAGCAATTCTGATCCTTACTGTCAAATACTTATATCTTGATTATACTCAAAATGTATACTCAAAAATCCTTATTCTCAATCATTGTTTGTAATCATTATTATTGACGATATTGTTATCCAATGTTCACGATTTAACTGTGTGTGTATGTGTGCGTGTGCGTATAAATATATATATCTCTATATCTATATATTTATCTATCTATCTATCTATATAGGTATATATACATGTATATATATATATATATATATATATATATATATATATATATATATATATATATATATATATATATAGTTATATAGTTATATACGCACACAGTATATACACATCCATGCATACTGAATGAGCCAGAATTGGTAAGGATAAGGATAAGTCAGATAAGTTAGATCACATTACATGGAAGTCATTAGACGCTGTCTGCATAAGGAGCGCTGGACCTTTGTTCCTGAGCAGCCTCTTGACTCTTCTGGTCTCTGTCTGTGCACAGTTCTCGCTGACGTGACGCAATAAAGAATAACAATTTCCATGAAACATAAAAAAAAATAATGAAGAAGAGGGATAAATAAAACGAAGTAGAAGAAAAAGAGTACGTCTGCAAGATGTAGGAATAACTTTCGTGTTGAATGAGCTGCGAGTTCTGTTCTACTCCTCAGATTAATGTATTACGTATTCATGAAGGGAAATACTGTACCCCAGACTCGGATATAGCCACGTGTTTACTCTGGAACAAGAATATGTAATTATTGGGTGTAAAAAGAAATCGTCTATATTTTTCCCAGTAGAAACTGTAATTATATGTTATATAGATCCTTTTTTCTTTTGATTAGCATTTTTCAAACCAAAATCGATTATAGTAATGTATCCCTTGTATTTTTCTTCCGTCTCACATCGCCACGGCTATTTCTACGCCCGCGGTCATCACAACCCTCACCAGCCGTAATGAGGAGGACACCACTACCCATTCCCTCACGCTCCGCATTATTACCACCACCGGGCCATCACCCCCCTCATTACCCACACCATCAAAGTTATTATCACCTACATCACCACAGCCATTAGCACGGCGTGCCCCCTGCAATACCCTTAACGTCCCCAATTTGGGAACCTCTGCTTTAAGATAGCACCTAATAATGCTTGTTCGGGACATTTCCTTCCGTCGCGTCCCGATCATTGGAGGCCAAACAGAATCCACCTCATCTTGGAGGGATTCGTCTAGTCTCTCCGCCCTTAAGAGTCGATCGTCTGTGTTCCATAAACGACTTCCTGCAAGTCCAAAGGAAGCGGATATAATCGTCATCCATAGTCTAAGCTATATTTTTGAATATAGAAAGAACAGAGTATCTATTCATTAAACTAATAAGAAAAATTAGGAACTGCTGTTTCCTATTGATTTTGATTACCCTGATATATGTTGTAATCTGACTTCATGTTTTCCATTCACATATGTTCCTCATCATAAAATCGAGGATATTTGAATTGCAAAAAGTCTGTTAGGAAATTAGATAAAACAATAGATAAAAAGTAAGAAACTACTTTCTAATGATTTTAGGATAGTCCTTTGACTGAAACTATTCAACATTCATATTCGTTTGTATTATATTTCTGCATTATATTTAATAATTCGCAGGAAGAATAGAAAGCCCTGAAACTACTTCATGAATAGCTTGTCATTATATACTGTGCAGAAGTTCAGATTAACTTATAACATGTAACAGATTTGAAGTTATAGTGAATCAATTTACAGATTGCCATTTTACAAATAATCTTATAAATTGAATATAACAATAAGAGCATGCCATAGTTAGAGCTAAATTGACAACACCAAAAATGTCTCTAAGAAAAGAATAAAATCTGAACATGATATGTTCGAGAAAACTCAGGGCCACCCACACTTGCACTCATAAACCGCTCATTAAATGCTCACACGCAGATACGCACAGTTGCTTCATCCTTGTCCTTTGCCCATATACCCGTTTGTTGAAGAGGCGCTTCTCATTCCGCTTGAGGTCATTTGCATGATTAACATACATGCATACATACAAACATATTTATATACATATATTACATACGCGCATGCAAACATACATATTGACATACATAACATGCACATATAAACAATGTGTGTTCATACACGGATAGATACATGAACATGTGAAAAAAATCGTGTAGCTCACTCTTCTTCTATCTCTGAACACACACACACACACACATGCGCACACACACACACACACACACACACACACACACACACACACACACAC